ACAAAGTCACTGTGGTAGGACACAAAAGCAGGTATGTATACTAATAGGGTGGAACTCAGTACCTAGAAGTAAATCCATTCTGCTATATGGACTGGGACTGGGATTTGATACAGGCAGCAAAACATGAATTGGAGAAAAAATGACCTCCTCAACAAATATTGCTGGATAAAGTGGCTATTTAACATTTAAGACTGAAATTCGGCCCCCTTTTCTTCCTTCCTTCCTTCCTTCCTTCCTTCCTTCCTTCCTTCCTTCCTTCCTTCTTTCCTTCCTTCCTTCTTTCCTCTCTCTGTTGCTCTTTTTCTCTCTCTCTCTCCCTCCCTCCCGCATCCCTCCTTCCCTTCCTTTGTTTCTTTCGCCTTTCACAAAAATCAGTTCAAAATTGGATCAAAGACTTTAATGTAAGACTTGAAACCGAAACTACAGTGAACAGATCTAGGTAAGGATTTCCGTCTCCACTATCCCAGAAAAGAGTTATATGAACAACAAAAGCTTGTGCTCAGCAAGAGAGAAATAATTAAGAATGGAGAGACAGCATACAAAAATGAGAAAATCCAAAGAGTTCAAGCAGTATCTCGGATTATTCTGGTTTTAAGAGTCGTAAGCAATGCCAATAAATTACATGGTGATGAGACTAGGGCATCAAGCGTTTGTGCAGAGGGCAAAAGGAAAGAAAATCTATGTGTTTTCCATTTCTCTTGACTTTTCTTCCATGCCTGACTTTTTCATTATTTTTTCCCTGATTTTCTCTTCTTCCTCATTTGACTCAGTAATCCCCTCCCTCGGTTAATTTCCCACTTAACAGAGAATTCTTTCACATTCTATAAGACACAAATGAATAGACCTTGAGTAGTTTCCTTTTATTTCTTTTATTGAGACAGGGTCTCATTTGCAATCCTACCTGGCCTAGGACTCCTTATGTAGACCAGGATGGTCTACATATTCCTATAATTTAAACTCGTGGCGATCCACCAGTCTCTGCTACTTGAGTGCTGGATTAAAGGAACACAACAGGCTTAGCTTCTGTTTTTAAAGGTGGAAAACCCCACACTACTCCTACAAGTGGAGTCTCTAATGAGTTGTAGTCAATGACCAACAACAGGAAATGGAAGGATAAAGAATGTGCTTATATTTAGATGAATAAAACCATTAAGAAATGCAATTTACAATCAAAAACAAAAACCACCAAACTGAGTAATATTTGGTGAAAAAAACTCATTCGACAATTGTTTACTGCTGTACTCTGCAATAAACATTGAGGACACAACCTGAAAGAAATCAAACTAGAGTCTAATGAAGGTTTTTCCTATGACAAATTTAAATTAGTACGACAATTTTAGTGACTATTTTAAAATGTGTGTGAACTTGGGAAACCATAGCATAGAAAAATAAATTAACTGCTTGTTTCCTAATATCCACTTTCCAGTCTAGATCTTTATCAAAGTAATTAATAACTAATCTGAATGTTAACTAATTACATCTTCACTTCTTTCATATACTCCTTTAATGAAGGTATTTCAAAGTGAAAGATCTTTGGAATAGCTTTACTTACTAGATAAATTTTTTAGATATTCAGAAGTTATCCCTGCTATCAAATATATTTTTCTAATATAGTTTACAAAATGTTATACCTTACCTTTCTTTTGCTTGGAGATCCTTTTTGATTAGTGCTTCAAACTTTTTGATCTCATTGGCCACGTCCTTTTAAAAAAAAAAATCATCATCGGTTCTCTGCTTCTGAAAGCCACTGAGAATCTTAAGTCATCTTGCCCAATTAGTTTTAAAAGGTGACATACACTACTAATTCAAAGTAATTAGGAGATACGATATGAAAAGCTGTCTTCTAGAATATTTTTAAAATTCTGATTTGATGTTTTAAGTAATATAGACTTTGCCTAACCTGCCTTCTAGAATATTTTTATAATTCTGATTTGTTGTAAATAGTAACAGACATTGTCTAACCTGAGTCATTCATTTTCTTTTTAAAGTGTGTGTGTGTGTGTGTGTGTGTGTGTGTGTGTATCTGTGATTGTGTCTGTGTGTTGCAAATAACTGCATGCCAAGGTGCCATGTAGAGGTCAGTGGATACTTCCAGTGTTGTTCCTCACTTTACATCTTGTTTGCGGCAGGTTCTCTTGTATACTATTATGTCCACCAGGCTATCTGGCCTGTGAGCTCCTGGGTATTCTACTACCTGCCTCCCTGCCTCCCATCTTGTCATAGGAACACTGGGGTCACAGACACTCTCTACCATATCTGCTTGTGCAGCAAGAGTCTTAACCCCCAGGACCAAGAGTCTCATTTATTAGTACACCAAAGGTAGTTAATGAAGTTGGGGATTACTGGAATCGGATATGCACTTTTTAGATACACACATTTCTTACAAATTTTTCTTCTGGGTGTTTCAAACATTTTTCATGCAACTTTATTTACTCTATATTTTTTTCCTCTAAATAATAACTTTCGCTCATGTTCACATACTACAAATCTTTACTAATAAACTTCGATCAGCTCAGGGAAAATTGAGTGTTAAATGCAAAAATGGGGCCAGAAAAAAAAAACCTGTGGATAATATTCTTTAAAATCCAAGTGCAAGATATTTTGTTAAAATTTTTTTAAAAATGTAGATTAATCTAAAATACAATGGATTTAAGAATCAAAGACATCTGCCAATCACTTCTTCACCAGCACTGTTGAACTACAATAAAACATATCAGCATTCTAGGCTATGTTTCCTTATACAGAAAGGAAAATGAAGAAATTAATACTTCACTGAAATAATTATGTATAAATCAATAAAATGTGTTGAAGTGTCAATCCACATCTTGACCTCTATTGGATGTTCAATTAATGTTACTGTTTTATTTGTCTTAGGTCAAAAAAAGAATATAAATCATCAGGAACTATGATCCAAACATAGTGTTACTTTCCTACAACACATAATTAGATTTTATCCTATTGGAATGTTTGATGATTGATGTGATCTACCAAAATATCACTAGTGTAAGCATCTGAAATTTAAATAGCAACAAATCATATAACATTTCTGGGTTTCATAACAAACAAGATTGCATGGTAAGGAAGAATGGAGTGTTTATAGTGTGTGCCTTGCTATACATATGGCAATAATGACTCATCACAATAGCATAGTACTTACCTAATTAATCAGCAACTACAGAATCCCTGTGAACATAGGAGTTCAGACAGGCTCTTTTATATTGGGAGTTTGACGTGCATGGCGTAAAGTTACATCCTCTCTGAACAAACAATAGTGTTAAATAGATCAGATATGTAGACGCTGGAGGGATTTGGTATCGATAAGAATCAAAAGGGCCAGTGGTAATTTGAAGGGAAAATAGGAAGTTTTAGAAGGTCTTTCTGAGAAATGCTGTGGAACAGCAAGTGATTATCACTTACCTCTGCTTCTTTTTTCTTTTTCATCATTTTTTGAGCCTCAAGTGCTTTCAAAGAGCAATTTGATTCAGGTTTCGGAATTTGTATAATGGCTGCTTGGATCTTGGCCATTATCTCATTTTGTCGTCTTCTGTTTAAGCGTTGCTGTGTATGGCATATATATGAGTTTATTTAGTCACCTTATCATAAGAGTAGTCGTGTAATATGTGCACAGATATACATGTATATCAATTATCTGTTGAAAATTTCAGAGCTTAGCAATTAACCAATGCCCTAGAGGTCACAATTTAACACTTGGAAGCAATTATCAATATTATTTACTTTGAAAAGTATGAGGTCCAAATACAATTATGATGCAAGATTATGTCTCCCTCATGCATGTATTTTCATAATGTGTTATGGTATAAGGATAATAAGGTGCTTTAAATATAAAAAAGGATAAAAAGGTTATAATTCTTTCCTAGTACCACCTTCATGACCTGCCCAATCATAAGAAGAGGAAAATATCTCAAGTTGTTCTGCAGGGAAAATTCAATCAAGAGGATGGTCTCCAGGAGGCCCCCAGGGGACTCGATGCCTGTAATAGCTGCCACTAGCCAGGACTGATTCCCCACACCCAGTCCACCTACTTAGGAGTTCAGGTGCAACCTTAAACAATGAATTGACACTAAAATATATAACATTGTTAGATAGTCTCTTAAGTAGTTAGACAGTCAATACTTTAAGGAAGATATAAGTAGAAGGATGTAATTGATAGAAAAATGTCTGAAATCAGATAAAATATTTTAAAATTCAGTATTTTATGAAAATAATTACATGAAAAATACACATGACTACTGAAGCACTAAAGCACTGTTAGAGCTAAGATCATTAGTTTCTGCATCTAAAGATAAGAGAATTTTATTTACCATTAAAATGCAGAAATTATAGAAGATTTAAAAGTTTTGTTAGATTTCACTTTCTAAAAATGTGAATTTTTTTTTTTTTTTTGGTCTTTTTGAAGCAGTGTCTCCCTGTAGCCCAGATGTCCTGGAACTCATTTTTATTTAATTATCTTATTTTTTTTTTCTTATGAAAACCAGGAAACTACAGGCTTTTTTTTTTAATTTTATTTGCTTCCTCTGTCATTTTTCACATTCTTTCATAATATTTAATGGGTTTCTATATCTTATTTTCTTTGGTGTTTTTCTGTATTGAATTTGGCCCTTCAAACCTGGACTAGCAGGTTGGTCCCCAGCTTAAAGACTGTTTTTGAGTGTCCTGACTCTATCATGAAAAGCCAGGAAAGTATAATTCTGTCCTCTGAGAAGTAACAGAAACAGAAGGGCTGTAGTTTGCCTCTCATCTTTCCTTCCTTTCCCACAAGAAGTAGACCCTGTTTGGGATATATTAACTTCTTATCACCCTAAACATAATAAATTTTAAAAGTGAGTTTCCAGCCTCATAGGAAGAACTATAAGTTCATTGCCTGCAGTTTACACATTGCATATATCCAGCCATTTTGAAGTTCTCTTAAGTCTTTAATGATTTGATATATCTTTATCTTCTTGTGTCCTTAAAGACACAAATCATTGAAGATTTTCAAAGAAATTTGAAAAGTGGTAGAACACAAGGGTAGGAAAGTTAAGATGCTTACAGTAGTTGAAAAGGAAAGCAAGCAGAAAAGAGGCATGCAGCAGGGGACCAAGAGACTGCAGAGCAGGGGAAAGAAAGGGGTGAAGTGTCTGTTCTGCCGTCCACAGAGGAACAGTGGTTGTGGCCTTTGATCATCAGGGTAGCTAGTAGCAAATGCCTTTCCCAAAGAGCCGAAGCACAAATTTCAACAATTTGTCTTGCTAGACAATTGCAGGTCTCAGCCACAAGTGCAGGTGACAGTGAACAAAAGTAAAGAAGGAGAGAGGACGAGGTAGGGAGAGGGCTGGATAAGGCAAAGGCAAAGCCAGGCACCACAACATGCAGTCTACACTAAACTGTTGCTTATGCAATGCGCAGTACAGGCATAAATCAGTAACAGGATACTAGGTGTTAGTGAATTTCTCCAAATATGTTCTATAAAACCTTTTCAATATTAAAATGTCTTTGTTCTTCCTCGAGTTTTTGAGATCTTTGAAATTTCCCAAAATGCACTCGGTCAAGGTCTTCTTTCATTTGATTACATTTTTGTTGAAACCTGCATGAAACCCGCATCAGATTGACATCAGTTTGACGTGGGATCAGGTTTTTAAGTCTCTAAATGAAAAAAGCATTTCAAAAGATTGTTACTAGAGAATAAAAAGTATACTGTCAGTATAAGCACACACAAAAATTCATATTCAAAGTGAATTCTATTTGAATTACCACTGTTGGTAATTAAAATAAATTCAAGTTCCATTATTGATATCAACCACTAATATCTTTTAAATATTCTTACAAAGTAATGTCATATATACTTAAGCTTTTTGACTGAGATTGATCTTTAGTGAATATCATATGTATTCTCCCAAAAATCATTCTATCAAACCATCAGCAAATAAGAGATTGTAATAAAGCCACATCCTTATTACCAAATCCACTCCTTAGTAAAACAGTAAACAGAAAAACTTGCTAGGCTGAAGTTTCAGTTCTGTCACCAACTAGCTGCATGAAATTGGGAATGTTATTCTTCCTCTATGGTCCTGCTTCATTATCTATAGATTATGAACAATAAAATGGTCCAGTTATAAGAGCGTTGAAAAGGTGGAATGAGATAATGTCCTAAAGAACTCAGACCAGGCCTTGGCACATCACCACGTACATTGGGTAAATTTTAGTCATTGTTAATATGACTAAACCCAGTGCTTACATGCATCTTCCCCTTACGATGTCAACAAAAAAATGCATGTATATATCTTTCTTAATATCTCTCTCCTCCAGCCCAAACCATTGATTGCCCCTCTCTTAGCTACTTGCTTTAAAGACCTCTTTATATTTGAGTCTCAAATTACATTCATTTCCTTCCACCAACTGTCTCCTTAGTTAGTAGGTATGCCAGTTTCTGTACAATAAAATATTTCACACTTCTTTGTGCTTCTGTCCTCTAAGCTAACCCTCTGATTTTATTTCCTTTACTTCTACATTTCTTGATAAGATAGTCTATGCTCCCTTCCTCCTGATCTTTAAATCACTATAATCTACACCAATAGAAGTTCCCTTCCCTAACATGTAATCTTGAAGAGGCTTGGAGAGAGCTTTCTGGTGTTATTTATTTGCAAGTTCTTGGCATAAAATAGGAGCTCAACAAATATCTACTTAATGGATGACTGATTCTCGAAGTTCACGCTGGCCAATATTAAGGCCAATAGGTTTTTGTTTTTCTTCATTAGTGAAAGCTCTTATTGTTTATTATATATTGTTTTCCTCAAACTCTACAAAAGCCCGACACTGAGGCAGGTAGAAATAATCATCGTTATTTTTATGTTAGAGAAATTTGTGTTTTCAAGTTTCTCAGGGACTTGTTTAAAATGATTCGGTTTGTAGGAGGAGGAAAAATACAACACTAAGTTTCTTGGCTTTAAGCCTAATCTAATTTCTACTTACCTGTGGGTTCTGAGTTCACTTCACAATGAGATTAATAGTGTTGTCTAATAAAAGTGGATAAATTTGGAAATAGAGGCAGCCTTTTGAATCTATTACAATATTATTACTTCATAAATTAAATTGAAAAACACAGCTACATCCAACCATAATTAATGTTTTGCATGGGTAGTGCACTGACTACTAATTCAGAAGCCTGGAAAAGTTCCTTTGCATTTTTCCCACCACAAAGAAATACCAAAGTTAATAGAACTATCAACTAAATAGTCTTAAGAAGTCATAAAAAAAAAACTGAATATTTGCAATGTTGAAACATTTTACTAGACATGTTCCTTGAACCTGAGGAACACAATCCTTAAGAGTACATGATAAACCAACAATGTCAGCATAAAAAGGTTAAGACACAGAGAGGGAGAAACTACTGTACCCTAGGAGTTCCAAGAAGAATCCATGTGTGCTGGGAAGACAGCGGAGATGGAAAAGAGAAGTTTAGGGAGGAGAGATGCCAAGGGAGTGTTTTGGTGGAAGGGAGGAAAGACCAGGAATATTCTATCCACATTCAAGGACGATTGTCAATCACCAGGAAAGAAATAAAGTCTGCTAATAAATTAAAAGATAATGTTGATATTGTTTAGTGAAAGAATGTGAAGTTCTTTTTAGTTTGAGATTCAAGATAGGCAAAATCGAGGCTTTCTGAGCCAAAGAAGAGTCACAGCTTTTAGCAGAACCCCTGATCCTCAGGAAACATGCTAACTGGTTGCTTCATTGGCCCCTAAGGAAATCTAAGGAGACAAAATGAGAGAAAAAGGAAGAAATGTGTAAGAACCAAAAGTAAAATTGGGTGGGCCTGGTGCCGCACCTTTAATCCCAGCACTCTGGAGGCAGAGACAGGTGGATCTTGGATCTCTGTGACTACACAGCGACTTCCAGGCCAGTTGGGGCTACAGGGACACACTACCTCAAAAAAGATTAAAAAAAAAAAAAAAAAAAAGTCTTGGACAACTGGGAATGAGGAACAGAATTTGATGAAGTATCAGTAGTGTGGATAGGAAAGAGAGAGGTACCAAAAGCAGATAAAGGAAGGCCAAATATTAGCATAAAAATAACGTGGAGAATGGCCAGTGGCATGCAGAGTCCTGCAGAGCTGCTTTGAGAATACAATCTCAATACCATTTCTTTTCAGGTTTTCCATTGGGAAATGCCTAGGAGGTCTCTTTAGGCACCCACCTCTCGAAAAGCCACACTTCTCAGGTTTTGAAGCCGTACACTTGTCTGGGGTTGCATGGTTTGTATTTCTAATCCAGTCAGTCCAGTTTTTTTCTTTTTCTGAAGAGCAATATACAATTGATAGAGAAGTTTTGTTGCTGCCCCAGGCTTCTCGGTGATGATGCTTTGGGCTACATTCTGATCGAACTGCACACCCAGAAGGTGAAGTGTTGGCTCCAATCGAGAGAAATTATTAAGTTTGGCAGTTGAACTCCTAGATGTGATAATTGTTCATGATTATTCATTAGCACAGATAAAGACAAACACTAAATTCGGAGGGACTGTCAGGATACAACATTATGAATTACCCCATTCTCTCTTAAATAAATCATATATCTTTGAAGTCCATAATGAAAATACACAGAGATCTTTTTCTTTTTCTTTCTTTTTGGTCTTTTGGAGATAGGGTCTCCCTGTAGCTCTAGCTGGCCTAGAACTGGCTATGTAGACCAGGCTGGCCTTGAACTCACAGAGATTCCTCTGCCTCTGCCTCTCATGCTGCACCACCACACCAGGCACAGAGATATTTTTCATTGGCTAACTGTCTGCACTCTCTGTATTTTTCTTGATGGTTAAACTGAAATCCATTAGCTTTATATAAATTTATGCTGTAAATTGACAACATAATTTTTTACAGGAAGTCAGTACAAAATGACAACCAAATGTGTATATCTAAGTGGAAAAAAAGTCAATAGTTTTGAAAACTGTATTTCATTCTGAAGACAGAATTGCAATAAGAATGTTCATTTCTTATACTCTGATATCCCTGCTACTGTCTGCTATGTTGTCGGCACCCCCAGCCATTCCCCACTACTTGCCTTTCTGGAGACTCTACTCAGCCTATCTAGGGGGCTTTGTTTTAGGGGGGTCAGCTGTTCCTCACCTAGTGGTAATCAGTTGTCAATATTCCTTTGGATAAGATAAACCTTACCTAGACATATATTTCTTGATCTGCTATGTATAATT